TTAACGAACCTGCCCGGTATTTACCTTTGTGCCAGGGACATTTTTTTACTCTCCATAAGAATCAGAGGAACCGCAGAAATTCCTACGGGATTCTTGCTGTGTTCTGCAGCGAGTCGGCGCCGTCTGGGCTTGCATCCGATTACGCCTATTTCTCAAGTCCCCCTAGCTTCCCCGCAATTCCAGCCACGCGGTACCGGAAGTCGCTGTCCATCCAGCGAAACTTCAGGTACTCAACCACGAAATGGACTCTCCGATCTCAGGCAATGTGTGCCCGGTATAAGTCGAGTACCTTATCACCGTAAAAGTCATTTCCCTCGATGCTAATAGGCTCGCTGAATAATGCATGGGACGAACTCGACTATGATAACGCAACGAGGCCTGCAAGTGGTTCTGGCTTTTCTGGAGGACCACTGAGAAAAGAGTGGAACATCATTTCCCACTTAGTTTGGTATTAAAAGGGATTCGGGTCATTCCATTCCGGGAGGCGTGTGCAGTGGCGAATGGCGAACCAGTTCCATTCAGCAGGAAGGTCACTACTTCCCGGTTATCGTAACTCCCTATAATAATAAGGGTGAAGCCCTTCCTTTCTTCTCCGTACGCGTTATTCAAGAAGACTAGTCAGCTGGCTCCGGGTACTAACCTACTTTCAACGATATTCCTAATATTTCTTCGCCGGCCTTTCCTCAAGGCTAGTCCCACTCCAGTCCCACTGACCATGGATATTGGTTTAGTTCAGCATCTCGCCCACGGGACCTTCAGACATTTTTTTTTTCTTTCTTCGCGAAGGGAGACAAAAGTTTGTTTTATCTAAAACATGGAAATTAAATTCCGTCCGCGGGGATTGACAAAAGGATGGAAATGAGAGGGTAATTCGTAAACAAGTAGAGAAGCTAGAGCAGAGCAGTAGGATAGACCGACGGAAGAGTAAAGAGGAGAAGAAGAAGAAAACAAGATCGAGTAAAGGGAAGTCAGAAGGATGCTGCGTAACGGTGGGATGGGATCTCACGTAACAACAGATGTACGTACGTGTATACGTGGTAGTGATAAAAAGGCAAAGTTTTGGGGATCGAAATCAGGCGTAAGGCTAAACCCCTGGGGATGAAAGTTCTTCGTACAGCACTGAAGGGAAAAGGTAGATTCTCTCGTCGAGCGAGACTTGGGTTCTCGATACTTTTCCCACCATCTTACTGTCCTCTCTCGTGTGTACATAGCTAACTATACGTATATACATGACAGCATTACCTTTCCACATTCCCTTCTATCGGAGACGCGCGACCTTCTAACCTTCCACCTTCCCTTCGCTACCAACCCCTACGCCCCTGGCGCCCCTGCACCCCGGGGCCCCCGGGAAGACTCCTGCCCAGGACATCAGAGACAAAATGCCGACTTTCCTTGTAATCAGACAGACATACATAAGCATGGCTACCGTGGGGAATAGGAAATGGATAGGTGCTGGCCTAATGTCGTTTCCAAAGCGCCACTACTAACCCCCGTCGGCTACTTACGTATCAATGACCAACTGCTTGACGATATTTCCGGTAATGGAGTCACGTGTCGCTACTCCGTTACCCGCCACCATTTCCTATGTTTCTATGTTTTTACGTAAAATGCACTTTTTCAAAAGGTCGAAGAAAACAAAAAATGCAGGCATACAGTCAGGAAGATACGTAGCAAGGAATAACCTTTTGCGACTCTACCTTCGCCATAATGGCCGCAAGTGGCGATATAGAAGCTTGTAGCATCCAGTCGTTATCGAGCACCGACTAAGCGTTCCAGCCGAGGATTTTTCTTAACGTTTTTCCTTCCTATTTTCTCGAGAAAATCTTCTTCCTTACTCGATGACACCAAGTGGCCACGACAAGAGGGCAGATTCGCGTTCCTATCGGCGTCTGCCATTCCATCCTCTAGAGGTTAATGCCCTGTTATAGGCAGTTACGCAAGCTTGACCGACCTCAAGCGCGACAACGGGGCTTTATACGAGGAGAATGATATTCCAGATTTTCAAATGGTCTACACAGAACTGCCATTCGACCTTTATATCCTCTTAGTGAATACATATATCCAAGTCGCAGAGTAAAACTGTAATACAGTAAAAAAAGAAAAACCCCACGAAAGAGCCTATACAATATAAACTACACGCTTTGTTTCCGTTGCCTTTGCAAGAAGACATTAGATACAGCTTGTACAGATTGTACGAAAGGAAGGGTCTGTTTATTTAAAATTTATTCCCATAGCTATTAGTCACTTTATCCGAGGATCCACCGAGGAATAGTGATGGCGGTGCCCTCTTGAGATTTAGAGACGATTTATCACCCTCCGATTTTGTTTATCCGTCCCGAAAGTTTTCGTACGCGTAAGTACCATGCGTTCCCGTGCGTAAACTAATTCCACTTGGGCTCGTCGATTTATTCCTGCACGAGCGGCCGAGTTTGGGAAAACTCGACGGCACCACATATAGTATAGTGCCTATATACATGTATGTACATGGTCGATATCCTTGTACGTATCCGAAGTAGTCCTTAGGCCTAGTATCCTCGATCAGGATGATCCTCCTCGCTTCAAGATTACTCGCTCATCCGATAAGGGAGTCAGCGAAGGGTTACTGTATTTAATTAAAGCATTACTTCGCATTGATTGCTAAACTTAGCGGACTCGCTGGCAAGCAGGAAGGGAAGATTATCGAAGTTAGTCGGTACTCCTGCTTGGCAATCTCACCAAGTTGCGTGGAGCCTCGATGGCGGGTTCGCTTTATTGGCAAGACATCTTGATATTAATCGTGGTAATCGACGTTTATCCCCGTGAAAACGGATTATGACAGTCAGCGCCATTTTGCTGGGAGAGCCGAGGTCAAAGCTGCCGGATGAATGTCGGATAAACGAAAGCGAAGGAGATCGGGATCAAGAGGAAGAGGACGAACGGACGAAGAGTCTCCATGCTGCATGCTGGAGAATCGCGGAGGGATGAACTCGGAGGAGGTCACTTGCGCCGGGCGCGTCGCGGGACGCCGGTCGTCGGTGGCGTCGGTGGCGTCGGCGGCGCCGAACGAAAGAGCCTGTCGATCGAAGCAGCCATGGAGTTTCATTTAAGTTAGGAATTGCTTCTTCCGTAGCGATGATGGGCCGCAAATTGGGCGCAAAAGAGAACGCCAAGGGAAGTCGGTTACAAGGGAGGTTAGGCTGGCACTGGCAAGGGCGTTGCTAGTCAAGATATAGAAGGGATAAGGGATGGCGGCTTCTCCTTGGGCTTCACGTCTTGGCTTGCCAACGTGACTGAAAAATACCTATTGATTTTTATTTATTTACGTTGCCCGATAAAACACCTGGAGGAGCCGCGCGAAAATGGGGACCTTCTCTTCTCCCTTGTAAATTCCACCCCCTCTCGCAGCCAACCGCCCCTAGAGAGGCAACTCCTACGGCGCTTCTCTTTTCATTCTCTCTCTCTCTCTCTCTTTTCTCACCCTCGTCATTCGCCCTCCTGAGCTGCGGAATTAAAGGGACTTGACTCAAAGGGGCGCATCACTTTTGTCTACCCTGTGATTATCTCTGCTCGATGGAATTCTTATTTTTTTCCTTTCCTTTACTGATAACGCTTGATACTTTATTTATAGATCCTTATAATACCACTTGAGACTGCATTGATCTGGTATCGTTATTCCTTTCTATTGAATACCACCACCACCACCACCACCACCACCACCACCACCCCCGGTGATGTACCTTTTCGGTGGTACGGCTTTTCACGATGGGAATGAACACGAGCGCCCTCTCCAGGAAGAATTACCAATGGTTTTGATCCTATTGAAATTATCGCTGGATGATCCTCCTAACAAGTGTCGATGCGAAACCGGATAACGCGAAGCTCGAATCGTTTTAGATATCTATGGAGTACGAATATACAATCAACGGAATTGATCTTTTGGACGGGAGCCTTTAACTTTCTGTGTGTTTATGTGCGCCATGTAAAAAGGACAACTTCACGAAGGAAAAAGACAAAAGTGAAGCAGGACGCAGAAGGAGGAAGGAGCGATGGATGCCAGTTTATCTCACCGGGATAATTATTTCTCTGGTATATCTTGGTCCCCCGATTAAGAAGCGAATTTCAGGCGGTACCATCCATTCCCAAGACGACGGAAATCCCCAGATCGGTAACCTCACTCCAGGATGAGTGAATAGCATGGATTACTTCCGTCTCATTAGAGTGCGCCAGTAGTCGGGGATTCCCCGGTCTTCCAGTCATGCCATTGGTGCATTCGTCACGCTTGGGAAATGACTCCAATGAAAAAGGCCACGAGGACGCGATATTAATGTTAATGACGTCGAACCCCCATAGCGGCTCGGATGATCGAAGACGCGTTTATTAAACCGTTACCCAGCATCAGCCGTAACCCACTGCCATAGTCAGCGTAGTCAGTGTTACCAACAATACAGGGACAATAATGTAATACGTGTCTGAATGACGTGATGACTTCTACTGTAATGCAAATTCTCCATAGGGGTAATTGCGGGTTTATGCAGCCCCGAAATGAGCCCATACATTGTCCCGGATCTGTTTCGCCACTAGGCTGGGGTGGATAGTTTCATAAATGGGAAAAGCGTGACATCCATGATAGATGAATCCAACGCCAAGGAGTTATTGGCCGACCTATTCCTTTTTTTTTCTTTTTTTCCCTATAGATAACTATTGTTCGACCGACTGATATACTTGTAATAATAAATAAAGCGATATATAATTCGATATAGGCTTCTAACAACATAACGAGAATGAGCCGATTCGGACTTAGGTCAGGGTCTTCTTGGTAGTATGGGAAATCAAGTTACCAAAGGCTTTGTGACAGTTTCCTAAATAAAGTTCAGATAGAACTCAATGTCTAAATGGCTTAGCAGGACTCGATGCTATTAATCAAATTCGTATAATGTATTCCAATGCATTTTAAATTATCATGTTGGTCCTGACACTGTGAAAGCGCTTTCGCGAAATTATAAAAATGTTCAAAGACTCACCGTTATGGACGAGAAGAGTAGAATCCCTGGCGAGGTTGGTTAATTCACTATCAGTGAGCGTCTCGTCCGACGCGTTGCCGGAAGTCGGTGTATCGCTGAGACCGGCGCCACTTCCTGGGACGTGATAAAGAGGATGCTGCTGGTAGGTACGTTGCTTGTGCTGACTTCCAGTATTGTAATGATTGTGCTGTATTTGGCTTGACTGATGATTATTTTGCACGTAAGGTACACGTGTCCTCAGACTCGGTGAATTATCCTCGCCTTCACTGCCACTGAGGCTGTAGGCTGGGTAGAGCCGTCCCTTCCCTGAAACCGAAATATCGAAGACTGATTAAAACCTTCATATTCCTAATTCTCATTTTTATTAGATCTACACGGCTGAGAGTAGTTACGCGTTTGGTAGTAGCTATTACCGGGTGAGAGGTATTTTTATTACCACCTGTAAAACATGGGTGATAAAATTCCTGATATCTCGTAGAAGGTTCGATAATCTTCTTACGATAATGGCATTTGTTAGGAAAAAAAAAAAAAAAAAAAAAAAAAAACTTTTCCACCGTCGACTCATCACCGCGACAGCACGATACGCGGAATTTCTTAATTTCACGAAACACAGGAAAAACTGAACCTCGCGTACGCCTCTACGTTAGCGTCGTGTTATGACGCTTTAAAGAGCGCAGGTGCAACCCTATAAAGGTTCAAAGCATTACCGTACGTACCGATGTGATACGGAAGTGATTGGCCTATTTAAAGATCGAAACAAAGTAGCGGGCAAAGGTGACTATCTTTAAAAGGTAAAAGAAGAAGAAGAAGAAGAAGAAGAAGAAGAAGAAGAAGATATTACGAATGGAAGAGAGCAAAGTGATTCTAGGAAATGGTTCTTAAATTATCCAGTAAAAGGATAAGCGGTGTCGATTTTCAAATAAAATAACGAACCTTTTCGAATCCGTACTTTGACCAAAGCACGACGGAGGCTCTTTTGACGTGTCTCACATGGGGATCACGCGACGCACGTGGACAAACACGAAGAAACGCGAGACTTCCGGGGCCTGGTTTCCGTTCCGGATCCCCAAGGGCACGAGGACCTAATGGTACAAGGGAGTCTTTTTTCGTTAGTGTCGATCGACAAATTCATGGGGTTGCGGACTTTCCGCAGGGGTGGTGGCCTTCGCCATGGAGAATGCGAACACACCTAACCGGATGAGAGTGACTGGGAAAACCTATAGTGTAGAAATTGTGGGAAAAGCAACAACAAGGAAGGACACGTGTCCGTGATGGAGGAATCGCTCCCGGGGGTGGCCGTGCAGGCAGCACAGCCAGATGTTCCAGGGCGAAGAGAGACAAGGAGGAACCATATAAATAACTATATATACCTATATGCATCCACACGTACGTTCTACCAGCATATCGGTAAGACATCCACAGGCATTCCGATAATCCGAGTGTAATCGGGAAACAGGCGAACCGTTGCGTCCCGAGGGAGGAACGGACGCCCTGGATCGAAGAAGGGTACGGCAGGGATCTGTTATAATTACGTTTGATCGTGCATACCCTTAATGGACGCGATGTATCGGGCTGGGTACCAACTCGACTCGTAGTTAACCAAATTACAACATCCCATGCAACGCTTCGCTCCACTCTACCAGCACTGTTTACGCTTTCCGTCCATCCTCCAAACGCTCGAGGCTAAATAAACTTATGGGGTTTTAACGTTTAACAGCTTTAATGATTTTATAATTGAATCACGGGGCTATGGGAGATGTTACAAATTTTATAGGTCACGATCAATATTCTAAATACGAATATCATAAGTTAAATGGTTATTGCGCAGGTGATGATTGGTACTGAGATTTTTTTTCAGAATCCGTGGATTATGTAAACGAGAAGCGTGAGTGAGCTGGATGAGATTTTCACCCGTGCGACTGCTGATATATGAGATCGAAGACCTCCGCACAATGAGATCTCTGAGTTTCGTATATCCTGAATATATTATCGGGTTACCATGGGGGTGTATTCTTAGGTTGGTATTACGAATCTAGGAAAATTTCATGGCTGCTAATGCGGGACATTACTTTCTATCGACACGCTAGTCTAAAATCTATATAAATTGCTTCCATTTTTTTTACATAATCTTTACACATGTTCCCAAGAGATATCATTACTCCAATAATTGATTAAGTTATTCCTGTTCGACCGAACCCAGATCTCCTGAATAAATGACACGTACGTCCTATGATAGTTCGATCAGAAATAATACAGTTCGTTACATCGTTACGTCCAATATAACTGTGTCCCAACTGTTCAATAGATTCGGAGTAACAATTCGTGGTCGGAGCCACATGTGATATAGGTGCATTTATGAAACCAACAGGATATCAGCAATGGCTTGTGGTAACGTATTGACGTTAAGCATGTGTAAAATTATCCAGTTCTCACACAAATGTGCGAGCGCGATATCGATAACTCCTGCGGTGATTCGATAGGAGTCCTGCATATTTTACACGACGGACTATACGATCGCGTCGAATTCTCAAAGGAATTTGGGAAAACTGGTCGCCAGTTCATCCATATATACATATGTATATTGCAGAGTTTAGAACGCAGACAAAAAGCCAGTCACACAGCCAATCAGCCAATCCGCCAATCAATCAAGCAATAAAGTATGGACGGGATTGTAACCCATAGATTTTCGCATTGAATTTACAGGATGTTGGCAGCAGTGACTCGATCGAGCCACAGCCATAGCGTCGTCGATGACGCCGATTAATTAACACATATTCACTAAAAATAATTGTTGCCTTATTGGCAAATGGAGTTTCTGAACTTCGAGATTAAGAAATGCAGGGTACTTTCGTATGCTGCCGTACAGAACGATACACCTAGAACACGTCTGTGGAGCTTTATTAAATTAGATCCTATAAGTACGTGCACAATGATTTCGGGAGAGATATGAAATAAAGTAGGAAAATATTTTTATTAAAATTTCAATTAAATCATCTAGATTGTTTAATAATTACGAATATTACGTTACTCGTTAGTAGCAGTTATTTTTGTGAGATAACATATTTATATGATGTATTAGTTTGCGGGATATTAATTATTGATTTATATATATCGAAAATTTGTTGATTATCAATTAATAAATAATAAGTGGTCATTAGCGTCGTCGGTCATGGAAACAGTATTTACGTATCATGACTGAAATATCACTTTCTCTTCACTCCTGAAGTTTATCTCTTAGTTAATTTTTTCTTCTCACAGCCTTTTCCCTTTACCCCCTCTAAATTTTTTCCAATAACACCACAGGCTGTAACCGTGAGAGAAAAAAAGAGGGAAGCTTCAGGGATTCGAGAGTCGAGGAGTTATGGGTTCGAGGATGTTCAGTTCCCATGGGTTCATGGCACGGCATCGTCCAGAGCTATTCTATTAGGCCACAAGAAGGGGTTCCAAATGGGAAAAGTGGAAAATGTTTATAGGAAAGAGGGCGGCGTAAAACTCGTTAAAAAATCTCCGATAACCCCCATAGCGCGATAAGACCCACCTAACTCTTGAAAACAGTTACGAGTTGCGATAACCATGGGAGTTAGTAGACGATTACTCTCTCTCTCTTTCTCTCTCTCTCTCTCTCTCTCTCTCT